TATCCCTTATTTCGAAACGCGCATATTCTCCACAACTCTCACATTTTCATTGTTTTCGATAACGAAAAATTAAAAAAAAAATATATATATATATATATATATATAAACATGTGCCCTCCACGTGGAGGTTGACAGTTTTAATTCTCCTTTCGGATATTCGAGTGATTTTCTGAAACTGCATCCCTTTCTATTCTATACTATCCCTTCCACTCATATGGTCACCCCTTCATAGAGGCATCCATTTGAACTGTGCGGACGGGGGAATTAGTTCGAATACTTGACGCTACGTGGCGCAAGATACACAAGCGTTACTCGCAGTTAAAATACAATCTCGTGGTTATAAAAGAGGATGAGCGAGGACCGAAAGCATACTTACCTGGCGTAGAGGCTACCGTGATCAACAAGGCGGTTCCTCCAGGGCGAGGCTCTTCCATTGCACTACGGTTGAGCTGACCCTTGCGAATATCCCTAATGTGGATATCTCGGACGTATAATTTTTGTTAGTCGGGACTGCGTTCGCGCTATCCCGGATAAGAGAATTACAAAAATAATTATTAGGAAATCTTGAGTTAGACAAAATATTATTTTGGAGAAAATAATTTGTGAGAAAGATTATATCTTTCATACAAAATGTTATAAACAGTCTCCTGTCTCTGCAAACTTTCTACATGAAACGCAGATGAATGATAGAAAAATCAGACGCGCAAAGTCTAGAATCAATGAGTTTCTTTTTAAGATTTCTCTGCTGACTTTTATGGATCAATATAATGAGTGAGGAAAAATAAAATATATATTCACTACAGATTTTTAATCGCAAGTTGCTGCGAACAAAGTAATATTAAAGAGGAAGCGTCGAAATTTAAATTTAAGCTTATTTTATATTTCCTCGTAATTCGTACAAAATGTTCTATACGGAAAATAATTTGTAAAAACAACGTGGATACGATCGCATAAGAGGACTCGCGAAAATTTCCTGGCTATTTTAAGAAACATAGAGAGTGACTAAGCGTAAAATGAGAGTTGACTGGCGCGCGAATCTACATGGCGGATGGGATAATTCTTAATTAAACGCAATTTTCAAATTAATGGTTGAAGCGAGCTCGAGGAAATCGAATTTAACTTGTCGAGAGGTGGATGTCGAGCGATAATCGAGATGATAGATATACAGGTATATATGTAACTGCACGCCTCGCTTCGTGCACTGAGCTTTAAAGTGCATCAGCCTCCGGTATGTAACTCAATTTCCTGCGTTCTTGGTAATACGAGATAGATATCTCGAGTAAATAACATTTAGTTTAACCCTTGACTTTTTCTATCGTAATATTCCAATAATATAGGCTGCCGAATATTAATCAAAAATTTGTTCTTTTTTATTAATTATGTAATATTTCGAAGAGCACAAGAAGGCATAGCAATCATGAAAATAATATTTATATTTAATTATCAAGTTTGTTTTCGTTTTATATATTAACAAAATTATTCTCTACGTTTTCTTTTACATCATAACAAAGATTTACATTATAGGTTTTACGCACATATATTAAACGTATAGATTAAGAATTAATGAAATATTTAGTGATAAATCACTTTGAGATGCAAGAGCACAAAGCGATTTCGTAATACTTTTGAGATTTATAAAGGAAGTCTGCAACGAGTGTACAGCCGCTTTAACGAGCGCAATTTTCATTAATTGAATCTTAACAGAACATCGCAGTTATTAGCGGTAAAAGGATCTTGATGATTCTTTTTTTAATCGAAGTATTCGTTTTGCTTCGATATTCTGTCTTACGCACGCAAAGAGGATCGCCGATTCCTCTCGTTCGACTCGCGCACGTTTGCATAATTGGAAATATTTCACTTTTTTCCGCAATAAGTACAGTCCAGAACATCTGACGAAGATAATTGATGCTCGAGCGAATTAGTGTTCGTGATATTTCGATCCTGCTAAATGCAATTCCTAGCGCATCTACGTAACTCGCGAAACTACAAGACGAACTTCACTCGCGGAAGCGAGGAAATGCCCGGGGATCTATTTTCATCGGCACCGATCATTTTATGACGCAGACATTCCCTCCGCGAGTTGCCGTATCGGGAATTGTCTAGACTAGATACAACATATGATGGAAGTCCTAGGAGGGGAAATGGGAGATTTATTTGACGCGATCCTTCGTCACGTTGCGACAAATAATTTCAACCGAAAATTGAAATATGAATTATACTAATGTATATTTTACAGTAAATTGAATTATTATATTTAAAACATCTGACGAAGATAATTGATGCTCGAGCGAATTAGTGTTCGTGATATTTCGATCCTGCTAAATGCAATTCCTAGCGCATCTACGTAACTCGCGAAACTACAAGACGAACTTCACTCGCGGAAGCGAGGAAATTTTTTTACAGTAAATTGAATTATTATATTTAACTAATAATAATAATTATATTTAACTATATATAATAATTGATAATCTTTCTCATAAATATAGGTTTTTTCCTTTCTTTAATATAGGTTGACTTCTTGATTTCAAATCAATCGCGAAGAATTATTTGAGAATTAATTTCCTCTGGGAAAGAAAGTCAGGTATATTACATAAATCGCGAAATTATATCACATTTGATACACACATTTGAAGTACCAATTCGTATTTAGATTAATCCTCTACGTATTCGTTTCAACGTTAATTTCGAAAATCGATATTTCATTATAGCGATATTGTCCATCGAGACTGTAGCGGAGGCATTGACTGGTCCATTCACCGTTCACCGAACAAAAAGAGATTAATCCACTCGAAAATACGGGAAGCACTCGTGCCTAAAAGCACTTGTGAATCGGTATGCGGCTCAATTACATGAAAGAAACGTGGCGCAAATTAATGGGAAGCGAAGTGTCTCTCGAACCGAGATGAGGGAAAAGAAGACACACCGACGCAAGAATAAAACGATGTCGTTTAACTTGCTTCTTCAAATATTTCTGACGATAAATTGATTACATTGGATAAAGTGCCCGAATAAAACGCGCGACATAATTGATGAAAAACCTATTTAGAAGTAAAACATCTCAAAGTAAAAAATTTTCCTCTTTCCATCGTCTCGAAGGATATGTGAAAAAATTCAATCCTGAAAATATTGTATCGTATTGCATTATATTGTTAATGTATATCATTCTTTTGTTGTTTCAAGTTCTGACAGTTTAATGTTTACAGATAATGAAAAAGTTCCTGTTCTCGATAAAGCAATGATTCGTTCGTAATGTGTTATATCAATATTTGGACACTTTGCTATTTCGACGATGCAATTGCAAACACTCTTCAATAACACATTTACATTCCAACAGAGTAAGTCACATCAAAAAGCATACAATTTGATTACACAATTGGGAGTCATATATTTTTATATACTATGCATTTATTTTTTTATTATTTTTATCCGACGCTGTTTCGCAGACGGGCCGCATTAGTAAGCAAGGAATAATATCGATGCCCCGGTAGCAAAGTTCTGAATTCGGATCGACTTGGCGCGATGCATCGAGCTACTTTCGCGTTATGCAATATTAATGCCCGCGCGTCACTTTAAAATACAAACACTTTGGGCCGCGCGTGAATAATGCATATCCACGTTGCTTCATTACCGATTCGCGTCGTTTCTCGATTTATCCCGTGGCGAGAATCGCCACGAATTACTACTCTTTGATTTTATCCCTCTTTTCCCACCCTTACGTACTACACAGCACCTCGAAAAATTATCGTCGAGTAACGGCCCGCCCGCACATATTTCTAACGTGACACTCTAACTTCGTTGACCTCATTCGTAGATCTTTCGTAGATTCTCCCATCTTGGACTATCCACAACTATCCAAGGGTCTGGGACGTGCCAGACATTCCACGAGATAAAATGTATGTTGCGGAATACATCAAGAAGCCTTCAGACTTCCGCATAGCGATGCAAAGTAATTTTAATGAATATGAATATAGTGCGGTCTAATAGTGTATCCGCGATATACGATCGGGAACATGGTAATTACACGAAAAATAAAAAATGTGGTTAAAGAGAAATGGACGGATCAGTTACATCAAAAGTTAATAAATCAAATATTTTGCAAGATTCATGAATTTGACGTTGCACAAAGCACTTTTAAGCTTAAAATTAATAATTAATTCGTAAGTTAAAATTAATAATTAATTTGTGAGTTAAAGTAAAAATGTGCCCTGTAAAATATAATTTAATCTCAAAATTGTAAATGTTATCTTATTTTCATTCTACACATGGCATATCATTACTTTAACTCACAAATTAATTATTTATTTTATTCCAGGTTTGATTTTTATATATTCTAATTATATGCATAGATTCTATCAATTAAATCTCGATTTTATTTTAATTTATACTTTCTTTATATATAATATATATATATATAACAATCCACGGAGTTATGATTTGAAAACTTGGGAAATGCTAAGTCATGAATTTTCATGACCATCGCAGTCAATTAAACTTTCTATCATTACGCGATGCGACGACTTTTAATTGCGTTTACGTAAGGAAAAGCAATACTCGTCTTGAAGCCGCAACGGGCAATGACCTTCGACATTGACCGAGGTCATTTCATCTCAGCAGCAAAGCCAGAGGCTCATCCGCGCGACGCATCATTTTTCAAAGACCGCGTTTCTGCTTTCCTTTTTCTCGCACGTTACCTTCGCCCTCGCACTTCTCATGAAAACGACCCTTTGCAATCTAAAAGTTTACCCTCGTCACCGTTGCTTGTTTTTCTCTTTCATTTTCTGTCTTCCTTCATCGGGAACGATCATGTTTTATGGATGCATTTTCAACTGCGCTTGCTTCCCTAAATATTTATAGTCGTTTATTTAGTTAATCCGAATTACCAGAAGCCTGTTAGTGTAATATGATATATGAACCGTTATTTTCTATTATTTGCAACAATTATTGCGACGATTACATCCCAATATAAGTGACTTATGGAGTGTTCAGTATATTATAGTATTAATTTATCAGACGCAATGAAAAGAATTTTTTTGGTACATAAATAATGTATTTCGTAAACAAATTATTGTAAAATTTATACAAATTGACGACGCTCATATACTATATAGCTGAAATTACACAATAGTATTTTTAAAAATAATACATAGTGTCGAAACAATGCAAAATTATTGCTTTTGTTCTTTCGCAAATATTTTTTTATTTATTATCATACAATAACAACGCAAAAAAAAACTATATACGAAATATAAAACTATTGTTCTGGATTATTCGCTGCACTATAATTTGCAATCACTGCGATGAATGGATATGCAAACGGAAGATTGGATTAGATTCAGTCATCTGTGGAAGCCGACTGTTAATTATTCCGGAAGTTCGACGATGCAGTTAAAGGCGATCTCGTTGGCAGAACACGGGATGTAGGTCATAGAAAGTTGCACAAGGAAAGTGGCCCGCGATTTTAATTTAAACCGTTGGTTCATGCATGCAAGACGAAAAAGCATAGCCATATAGACTTTGAAGTGCAAATTATAATTTAAATAAAACGTTTAGCGTACACAAAATGGCACAAAATATAAATCAGATAGGCACATTATATAATATAAAATCATACCTAACATAGAATATAACAATATGAAATATATTTATAAATAAATGTTTTGCAGTGCAGAATATAATATGAACATTTTTTTTACTTGATTTAAGTAAAAAAAGCATAAAATTAATATTTTTGATTGTTTTTTAAAAAGATTACACTCAATAAGAATATACTCACTTTATCAACATATTTTTCATATATCTCTAAAACGCGTTTCCGGGTATAATATCTTTACATAGAATATATGTATGTAAAATTTTTAGTCTCTTTTCATTCATGTGTAATAATGTGTATACTGAAACTGATAAGAACATAAGGTACTTTATGTGATAGCGTTGCAATCTACAAAGAATGATAACACTAAGAAGTGATAATTAGAAGTGTTACCTTTCAGATGCAAATATCCTTATCGACTAAGAGAGTAGAAAGAGAAGCATTCTCGGAAGAAACCGCGTTTTTGTATCGCATTAAATTTTAAAATTGCAAAGCATGAATGTTACCTTAAAAGGTAACATTTTATACGTCGACGTCATATTATTTTAGCTCTTTGTGTTTGACAGATGAATCAAAATTATTTCCAATAAGTATTGAGTCATAAAAAAAAATCGAATTGGGAGAGAGCAAATTAATTAATATGGTGCCAAATATTGTTATTTTATATCATATTTGTACAGTACCAGATTTGTACAGTAAGCGATTCGAAATATCACGACGATATCATTTGACAGTGATATTCGGTAATGGAGATTCATTCACTGTGACTCATATGTCGTGATGTAATCATTTTACTTATCGCAGCTATAAACAGGTGTGTGGCATGTGGAAATTCCATCTCGCTGTTAGCCAATTTTTATTTAGCGTCTTTATGCGAAAAATGTGTTTTATCTTTTGTAATCTTATATCAATATGCTATTTATATAATAATATTATCATTGTTTCAACATACTATTTATTATATAACGTTCTATGATAAATGTGAAATAATCTTGAATATAATATTATAATTATGATTTCGACTTATAGTTAGCAATATTTTATTTTTTTGTTTAGTCAGTAATATTTTATTTTTTGTTAAAAATTCGGCGAGAATTTACGCGCGTAAAATTTATAGAATTGACGGTGATAATAACGAAATCTTTCTTGTTCAATGTTCTCATAAATTTTTACTATTCGACAGATATAAATGCCTGGCGCGATGGCGCGAGATACATTATCGTTATTCCCGCCTCAGTTTCTGACATTTCAAAGTATTCTGTGAAGACGGCGTGAAAAAAGAATAATATAATGGGCTATGGTCCTTGGAAGGACCGGTTGACGTAACCGGTCCACTATTTTTAACCGCATCCTTTTGTTTCACTTTTTGCTGACGCTCTCGTCTTTATTCCCGTTTCCTTCCTACGCCTCCGCATAAATAAAAAAAAACCATTCTACTTTCTACACCTTTCTTTTTCTCCATATTTATCCAAAGCTTGAAATAGATAGAAGAGACAGATACCGCTAATTTTAGCCTATATTACAAATATAAAATATATATTACATACAGATTTATACCCGAGTTATACCTAAGTTTTCACAAATTTACATTTGTAATAAATTAAAATTTGAAAAGCTTTGTCAACAAAAAAATGTATTTAAATTTTAATAATACACAGTTTTCACAAAAACTTGAATCGCTTTCCCTCTAACTATATTAACTAAATTATAGAAATTTATGAGTAAAACATTCTAGTGTACGTGTTCATCAGAAATAGCCAGAATGCTTTATCCGTAAAGATTTTGCCACAAATCTCTATGAAAAAAGCTATCTAATGCAAACCCAATTGTTAAAAAAATGCGAATAAAAAAATAGAGCAATCTAAGAATATTACACGTATTAAATACAAAAGTACAGTTACTTAGGTGAACGCGGGAGTTGTCAGAGAGAAAGGAATTTATCATTTGCAAGGCAGCTTTAGATACGACCATTGTGTTATTTGCGAGGCAACCGTTACATGATGAATACGAATGCGAGCCTGATATACAAAAATTGCAAAGAAAACTGTATAAAATTCCTAATTATATTATATCTCTGTCCATTCATTAGATTCTAATGAAATGAAAGAAAATATCTTTTTACAGGCATACATAACATCAGATATATAATTACTTTAATCGTCTTTTTTAATCACAGAATTTTAAGAAATATTTAAAATAATTATTAATAAAATAATATTTAAAATAATTTATTTTTTGATACTAATAATATTAGAATTGTAAAACTCTGTGATCTTTTAAAAGAATAATCAATACAATTATTTTTTCCTTTCTCTCGATGTGTATGTATGTGTGCGTATTACAACAAAAATCAAATATTAAGTAAAAATATACAAGACTAAAGATCGATTTTCTTTTGCAATGTGATGACAAAAAATACAGAAATAATATTATTGTTATCCGGCAAGTTTCCGAAACGCCATAGTGCGTATATATATAATACAGGTATTGAAAGGGATGAGACAGCCGTTCGGCCATCTCCGGCGGCGCTCGGCAGCGCTCGGCGGTGCTCGGCGCTCGGCTCGCGCAGCTACACCGCCCGGACCGAAGTCAGTCACGGTCAGTCCTCGCGCACACCTCGTAGTGGAAGGTCGCGCGTCGCGTCCTGTCATTGTCGGCGAACTTCGATGCGTTCGGGAAAAAGATTTTCGCAACCGGTGATTTCTCGCGAGCTTTCTGATCGCTATTGCGACTTTAAACGATGCTCTAAAATGTCGCGTGAGTGCGTGGATTTATTTTCGGTACACAATAGTAACGAAAACCGAGCAGTTTGAGAACGGACGAGGAGAGGGAGAGAGTGAGAGGAGGACAAACGGTTGTGCGGCCCATGATCGATCCTACAGTGTGTCTCGTTAAGGTGTTTTGCGCGATTTCTCGTCGCTGATCTTTATTATGTCAATGATCGCGTGTGTCGATAAATGGCTTTGACTCGTGGTGTGCTCGCAAACGACAGAACGCCTACAACGATGCTGCCGCAGACACCTGATATCATCCCGACTACGCTGAACCAAGTTAGTAATAGCGATACATGTATTACGTTAGACGCGCCGGTTACTCCGGATTGAAGTTGGTTGAAATTTCGAGTTCAAATTTCTGTAGTGTCGTGTATTTTGGCGCGTATATTTTGTACGTAAATTTTTTTACATGCAATTTAATCATGATTAAATTTATCTCGAGTGGATTTATATGACGCTGTCATTGAGCACATATTTGATAATTTAAAATTTACGATATCGAATAAGTGTGTGCGTGAAATATCCAAGTATAGATTATTTTTCAAAACTAGCGAATATATTTTTCGTTGTGATATCGCTTTCGATAAAAAATATTAATTGTTTGATAGTATTTTACTACTTTATTCTTATCAATATAATATTGAAAGATTCTAAACGATACAAAAAAGATATGAATAGAATAATCCCAGTCAAATAATGCGCATTTATCCATATCACCGTGAAATTTGAACTCGTCGAAAATAAATCGGCGCAAATAATGTTGCGATTTGCAGAGATCATTTGAAAATTCTGCGTTGAATTTTACAAAAGAATATTTCTTGTGGAAAATATTATACGGTAATACATAATGTAATATTTGATAATATCGTATAACATGATAATTAATAACTGGATTTAGCAATTTTCGGTATCAGTTAAATTATTTTAAATCGTCCTGCTTCATCGCAGTTACGTGCGTGATTAAATTGCGATTCAATCGGTCGTGATTCATACAAAATTTTAAAACTCCGTTATGTAGACGGATTACGTATATTCCGCGTATAGCGTGCCAAGCAGAAATTGATTAACCTTGGAATCCTGTCATGGTTCGGTGGCGTCGGAACGAAACGATCATCTTAAGGTCACGCCGTACTTAGGATCAGACCAGATCACGAGATCTCGGGGGGAGAGAAATAACGTCCGATATCATTCGGCCGGGCGGATATAATCAGTTCGATCAAATGCGTCTGAAACATAGATCATATACGCTATCCACTTTAGCCATCCTAAGAATTTTAATTAAAAGTTTGTCCGTCTGTTTGCTTGTAAAGTAAATTTTACGTAATCGTATAACTTGCTATTTTAATGTGAGAATACCAGTTAGAATTTTTTTAATAGTTGATTAACTAACAGGTTGATCGCGTGTATGATGTGTCTTAAAAATTGCAATGATATCTAAAGAATCTTAAAAATAAATTTTGTTTTATCTTGCTAGAGAGTAATTTGATTTTATAGTGTTATATATAAAACTTTTTAAAGAATTTTTTTTTGTCTGAGATAAATTATTGGGAAATTATTAGAAGCTGTTTTAATAAATATATTTTTAGCGTTTTGGAATTAAAAAAAAAAATTCTGCTGGATTGTCACTTTTTTTTGTAATTAGAATATATATATTTAGAAGCTCTAATAATTTTTCTCTTGTTCAAATCATGATGAAGATAATGATGCTTCTCGTTAAAAACGCTTTTTGATTATCTCTATCACAATCTTCCGTAAATGTCGACGATAAAACTCGAGTTGTCAAACAATATATGTATACGCAGACAGTTTACATGTCACTTGATGAGAAGCTATATAGCGAGGGGCAGACACCGTGATCGATAATAACCGGAAGGTTTTGCAAAGGTCTGCCCGTTGCAGATGACACGACATTGACAACATTGACATTTTATCATATAAAGTGGGGTTGGAGTGGTTCTTTATATTATTCTCTTACGCGTAATATAATCAATTGATTTTTTACGAAAAATCAAGTTCGAAAAAAAATCGAATTCGAAAAAATATGGCTTGTCATCATATGGCAGCATTAAATTTAAAAAATTTTAATTTTAATTTTTAAGAATGATTACATGTGGAAATGAAAGTTATACTTTTAGAATAGAAAGTATGTACATTAATTTCACAAGAAGAAACTTTCGAGCTGTTTTAAAATTTATTATTTCTATCGATTTTTATATTGACGTCAAAATATATTGAAAAGATAAAAAACGAATGTAATTTTGAAGATTTATCGAGATTTTAACAAGTGCATCGTAAATTGATAATTCTGCTTTTATAATTTTTTTAAAGATGACGCGAAAAAAGAATTTTGTGATGGGGATTTATTCATTCTGCTAACAATAAATATATATATTCTTACATAATCGAGAATAATTTTTCTCCAAGGTATATTAGAGTGAAATCGATTTGTGCGATATAATTACGTGAATAATAATTCGCGCGATTAAAATTTACCATTGAATCTGAATCAAGGGCGTTGCTACAAAACAATTGCGGCATACATTTTTCACATATCGTCAGCGTGTCGGTTTCGAAATGCCAATTGGTTGTCCCAGACCGAGTTTTGTTAGGTCAGAAATTAAATTATTCAATAACAATGTGATGTAATATATTACGTCATGTTAAATTCATTATACACGTGAAAATCGATTGATAATTACATATGTAATGAATTTTACTGGCCAACTAAACTGTTTTTTAAAAATAATTTTTTCTCTATTTAATTTTTTTTATCAATGTCAAAGAATAATATCGTGTTACACATTATCAAATAGACAGACAAATATTGCCAATGTGATATAACAATCAAACGATAAAAATTTGAGAGTTTAAAATATAAAATAAAAGTAGTTCGTCAATAGAGGTAAAGAAAGAAAAATTTTATTACCAAATAAAATTTTATGTTTTAAAATCGTATTCAATAAATTAGATTTTATTAAAATTTACACAAGACAATTTTTTTCTCGAGTTTATATATGTTCGCGCCATTGACTTTTCTACGTATCCGCGATAACTCGAAAGGATGAAAGGCACCATACGTTTCGCTACGTTCTGTTTGTCCACGTCTGATTTCGTCGTAAGTGCCTCCTTTTCTGACGATGAGACACACGCCGCTCTCCGTTCCGCTCAGGTTTATCGTTCGTGGAAGACGCGTGACGTACTCCGCGAGAGAATTCTTGAGGTGGGCCTTATCGATTGTTTCGAAAGCCGATGTTAAACAAGGCAGGACCTCGTGTAGTCTCCGTATACGATGCTCCTCGCGGAAGATACGTGACTGCAATCGTGCGAAACGCATGTAATAATTATTTCCGTTGAGTCATTGTCTTGTAATTTTTCCATTCTGGCATTCATTCAATGTCATTTGAAAGATTATTCTTTCACACGTTTATTTCTATAAAGCAATACGCTAAAATAAATATCTAAAATTTAATAATCCATTTTTTCTTGCACATATTTTCAATAATTATTACATTTATTATAGCAATTGTTCTACCGATCTAATTGATATTTTTATATTCAAAATCAGTCGCGACTTAGTTTCTTTTATTGTCTTTTTTTACATCTTAAGATTCTAAAAGATTTATTCTTTTTTTTTACAAGAAATATATATTATGTATGTATTTTTCAATTCGTACATTATAGTATAGTTATTAATATCTCTCATTTAAATTCAATTATTTTCAACATATGTTAAAAAATAATATTAATTACATATTGCGCGGGAAAGATTTAAATTGTAAAATTGCTGTTTTTTTTTTATTGTCGTTTTCAAGAGCGCTATTAGCGTAATCGATGACGCGAATATGCAAGTTACTTCCCTTTTCCATATTAAGAATTAAAGACGATATTCGCAGAAATGATTCCGTTAACACCCAGCGCGGTATCAGCGCATCGCGGCCGCATCTTCAACGTCGGCATTCTCGTCATCGTGCGATTCTGTCGTGCGTGCATAAAGCAAATACCTCTTTATGTAAATGTCATCGATGTCACGGTCTTTACAGAAGTTACTGCGAATAAGTCAAGCGTTGCCTAACATTTGCAGTGAATAACGTATTGTTGCGAGATTAAATGCGGCAGAAGCGCAGCGTTGAAATTAATTCCCTTTTCCGGCTGAAATCTTCAAAGAATGACGAATATGCTGCTTTCCAGCCGTAAACTCTGTAAAGACGGCAAAGCGGGCAAGTAATATAATTTGCATAAAACTCTTCAATATGTCTGAAGCTACAAATGTAGCTATTAAAAATTATGCATACTAAATATAAATGGAGATTGTGTAATCGAGAAATATGGTGGCATTTCGCGCGCGCGTGTGTATGTATTAGCATAGCATACACTAGCAACAATCAGGAGAGACTATAATGTATTTTTTACCGGAAGAAGAGAAGGTTCTTTTTGAAAAGAAAGAGAAGGAGAGAAATAATTGACTATTTTTTCAAATAATCGTGAGAAACTGGATATGAGATGACATTTCAATAGTACAGGCGAAAATGCGTGAGAAAAGTTTAGGATTGTTGCGGTTAGACAGAGAAAGAATAATGATTTCATAATGACTAGATTTTATATTTTTAGCGTTTCGTGTTACGTATATTAATACTACCGCTTCTCGTCGTGTATATTATTATTTATATAATATTATGGATTATATAAATCTTCAAAATTGAACCGACATTCTCGTCGAAGGATTGAATTTGATATATTTTTCTACAAGTATTTGGTTTCATCACAAAATCAAATCACAAAATCACAAAAGCCGAGAAATTTCATAACTTAAAATTTTATATCTTTTATCATTCTTTAAAATAGTATGAGTTGTGTAGAAATAAAATACTTGTTTACTGTTACAGAAAAATAGGTTGTTATTTCTAAATTTTATATTCGTTGAATTTGCATATAAATTAAATATTGAAGTAATAAAAGAAATGTAATAAAAAAGTTTTTAAATTTATTATCTTATTATCCAATATTTCGCGAGATATTCCATTATAAATTTTTGCGAAATGTACAATTAAATCTATAATTATGCACACATTTTTGGTTATTTTTATATTGCATATTTATATTATAGACACATTTACATTTTTTTCGTGGATCAATAACTTAAAATAATTACAAAAAGTAAAATATCCAACTTTGGTTCTTGAATATATCTTGTATGCATATAATGGTTTTTTTTTTTTTACAATCCTGAAATGAAAGTTTCAACGAGATACGTTATACTTGATAAGATTTTTCGGAAG